GGCTGAAATTGGTCCTCGTCGGCTTTGTTTCGGCCGATTCGACATGTTGAATCGGCGTCGGGCCGTCGGTGAAAGAGGGAACTCTGATTGGCTGTTCAGCTTAGTGAAAGAGTCATGCACGAGAATAATAGCAAAACAGCGAGCAAAGAAGTCAATACTCTACAGATAGAAGGCTGTTCTTATGTTACGTCATCTTACCTGGGTGTTCCTTGGCGAATATTTCAATATTAACACGAGCGGAGTGGAATAAAGAAAGTGTTTAGCAGGATTGATATTTAAAACGGTAAGCACGCACTGCTTTGTTTATGGTTTGTGTATCTGCAGCCGACAGCGTCGGTTTCCCCTTTTTGAATGACGAATATAGAGAATATATCTGCAGAAATAGACAGTTGTCTCATTTACACGCAGGCGCAGAACGCGCATTCTAGCTGACGGTCGGCTGTAGTTCTCTCGGTGTGTTCAAGTGCAGCTTTTTACCCCGACGAGAGGCGACAACACAGTCGGCTTTCATCGGCGCTAGTTCGTCGGCGTCGGCTTGGTGTGTTCCAGGCTTTATAGTCACATTTAGCAGATTACAGTTGTGCAATAATAATTTTGCGACTAAATAAACAATCAAGCAGTTGAGAATTGCTATATTATATGACTTTATATGTGCAGGTAAAGTTAAATATGATTATAGTAGCTGTAGTTTTTAGTTATTATCTTGTATTGTGTTCATTCATATTGAGGATTATGAGGTTTTGTTTATAACAATTTGGTATAATGACAAGCGAGCCTAATTACTATTTGGTGTCACTGATGTGACGACACCTCTGCTTGTATTTCTCTGCTGCAGTGCATTTTGGGAGATTTCAGGCCACGCACCCACACACACTCATGCACAAATACACTGTTAGTGTGTGTGACGTGTGCTGAGATCAATCATATTCAGACTCGTCTCGAGCATTCGGTCAGATATGAGAATAATGAAGCTGTGATGATTATGATGAGATCAGACACGCATTTAAAGCTGACAAAAACTCGAGTCCATTTAACTGGACTTTGTGTGATTAACGACAGAAATGGACTGGAATTGAGTGGACAGACTGAAAGCTGATGTAAAAGAGTAAACTATATTTAGAAACAGTCAAACTGCACAAATCATCCCGTTTATAATTGAATCCGATGCATTTAAATCCATTTAAAACTCTTATTGTGTGCTTTCAGCCACCGGCTGTCAGAGTGTGATTGGTCGCAAGTTCCATTGATCTTTGTTGGTAACGACGGGTTGCTTTTGGGAAACACACTCCCGTTTGATTATTCAAAGAACAATGTTATGCGCTCACACACTCACTACTTATCTAGCGGCTTATGATGTCAGCGAGGCAGAAAACACAGCATCCAATCAAAGTGAGGGATTGTGCTGAATGAATGTCACAATTTTGAATAAATCAAAGGTAGGGCTGTACAGTTAATCACATGGCGACATTTCTGCAAATATTACAGTGCAAAAAGACTCTTCCGCGTCTCTATATGAGCACATTCATCTTCAGCATTTCAGTGTTTCATCTGAGGAAACTATCGGCAGACACACACACACACACACACACACACACACACACAATCAAAGGTCTCACTGCAACCTGCCAAAATAAAAGTTCGGTTTAACTTGAAGAAATTATGACAGAAATGACATATTATTACTATAGTAAAGCAGAAGTAATAAAGTAATTTTTGATTTTTTTTTTATTAATGCATGTTTTAATTTAAACTGTAAACTTTTGTAGTGCAGCACAAAAAAAAATATTGTTATATTTGACAGCATTTTAAAAGATTATGTATATTGTTAGTTTTGTTTTCGATAATAAATTTGTATTAAATTATTAAAAACTGAATTCTGAAAACTTAAAGCAGACTTTCTGAATTAATAAAACATTTCATAGGGTTAAAATTGAAATGTAAAGTGCTTAATAATTGAATAAAGTTTTATAAAAATGAATAAAGTTTTATGAATTCAATTGATACATTTTTAGATCTAGATTTTTTTTTTTTGATTGACTTTTTCCTTTATTACATTTTTATTGAACCATTTAAACGGAATCCAGATCAATTAAAACTGAAAACATAGAATTTAGTTTTTCATAATGCCTTTACTAAACCGCTTGAATCACACATGACTTGCTGAGACTTTTAAACTCCTTTGTAAATGTCATGTTTTGTTTTTAAAATTGGTACTTAAAAAACATTAAATGTTACAGAGAATTTGCATGTTCACCTGTGTGTGTGTGTGTGTGTGTCAGGTGTGTGCTGCTGCCGCTGCTGAGCTGCAAGGCTCCTCCGCAGGCTCTGCTGGTGCTGGTGGACTCGGTGGACGAGGGCTGTTTGACCCGAGACCGAGAGCAGAAGACACCGGAGAACATCGCTGATCTCCTGGCCGCTCACCACGAGCTCTTCCCGCCATGGCTCCTGCTAATCTGCTCCGCGCGCCGGCAGAACAAGCACATCACCAAACTCTTCACAGGTGACCGCTCTCGCCACGCCCTTCAGCTGCTCGTTTCTATCATTGGGGGTTTTTAAGGGACAATGCGCAATTTTTTAATCTGTATAAAGTAAACTAGTTAGTCTAAGGACTGTGTCTTTTAGACATGGACATTTATGGATGTTGGGATTGCCAGATTTGTGTGTTGTGCATCAGAGAGTCGGTGAGAGGCTGAAACTGTGTTTCTAGGACTGGCCATGGACACAGTTCACAATTCAATTACAGTTTTGATTATTAAATGAACATTAATCACAATATTATCACACAAACATTTAAATTCGACATACAGCAGTTTTTATAATAATAACCTTTTAAAGTCCCCCTGTAGTCAATATTTTTATCCCTTAAAACTCATCTTTGATCACCAAAATATATCTTGAATGTAACTCGACACCCTTGCCTCATTTAGTATGTGCGGCTCTATGAATATGCAGATGAGCCCCGCCTCCACTCACTCCCTCAGCTCAGAGATCCACTGGTTGACGATCACACGTTGATCTGATTGGTTACAAGGTCGTTTGTGACGTCAGAAACACCAGCGATTTCAAACCGTGTTTTTGAGACTGTCTTTGGTTCACTGCAGTTTTAAGCAGAAAATACTCAGCAATGCTGTCGACTTATGAACTTACACACGGTTTAAGCGTATTAAAAACACCACATAGACACATAAACTACATTAAAAGCTGGATTTACACCATAGGGGGACTTTAAAGACATAATTATGTTTCTACTCCAGTTAGTTTTTTTTAAACGGTGATTCAATAACTTCATTCAAACACATTCAATCTCGAAGAGCAGTTTAAGTCAAATTACGTAATATAGTGCATATATTTATCATATAGTTATTTTTCTATCTAACTATCAAGTTTATGGTCATTGGATGTGTTTCCTGAGGTAGATCATGTGACATATTGTTCTCCAGCTGTTTAATTGAAGTCTTTCTGCGGTTGAAACTAGGGGTGGGGGGAAAAATCGATTCTTAGATGCATCGCGATGCGGACGTGGACGATTCTGAATCGATTCACAAATGTCAAAAAATCGATTTTCCCCCCCAAAAAAAAAAAAAAATTTTTTTTGATATATTTATAATAACGTAATATTGACGGAACGCGAAAGACGGAACTCTGAAGCGCGGAAGTGCAGTGGCCGGACCGTCTGTGGCGTGCACATAACAGAGACGCGATGGCTGAGCGCTAAACACCCTCCTCGTTAAAAGCTGACGTGTGGAGATATTTTGGCTTCTGAAGTTGAAGGGGGAAAGGAGCTGGACAAGAGCCACACTAGTTGTAAGCTTTGTATAATAAAACTAACGACCGAAACACGACAAATATGAGAAACCATATGACACGTTTCCAGCCAGAGGAGGAAAAACACTCAGCTGTACCAGTCGTTATAATATTAATTTACTACAAGTATGCTCTAGTTTAGGCACACATTTATTTTCCTGTTGGTTCTTTGCAATGTTAATAAAATATATTGTACGTTAATTCTTTATGGGTCATTACTTTGTACTTTTAAAGCAAAGTATTTATAGTCACACACACACAAAAGATTCAGATAATTGATTTGTAACATTATAAATGTCTTCACTGTAACTTTTGATCAATTTAATTTATCCTTGATGAATAAAAGTATTGATTTATTTTTTCTTTCGCCCAAAAAAATTAAATTAAAAATCTTACCGACTCCAAAATTTTGAACGGTATTGTTTAATGTTACAAAAGCTTTCTATTTCAGATAAATGCTGTTCTTTTGAATTTCTGGGTGATTCTCTGAATTGGGTGCCCTTCAAATCCCCCAAACTTGCTTCAAAGATTTTCAATTGAAGGAAATCACAAAATGCATTTTAACGCTGTCAATTAATAGAACCAGGTGCCTTTGCATTATAATGCAACACAATTGATTTTAAAAAATAATTTAATTTAAAGATAATGGGTTGCCTAAGTAGTAGACAACAAGCATGTTTGCATGTCCTCAGTAACCATCATTACATTTTCATTGAATATCAAACAAAAAAAAAGTGCAAATTAATACCAAAATGTTGCTGCTAATATAATCATATGTTGGTCTAGTGTATTTTCGTTTACTGTTGTGAAATGGAAAATCAATAATCGCTAATCGAGAATCGTTAATAATCGAAAATCGACTGTAATCGAATCGGGACTTCAATAATCGTAATCGAATCGAATCGGGAAATCAGACAGATTAACCACCCCTAGTTGAAACGCTGATTGATGGATTACATGAGACGAGATTGATTTCAGGAAGTTCTTTAAAACGTTCCTTCTGATGTTCATCATGTTTATTTGCTGCTGTAACTAGTAGTGAAGAGGACGAGACGATCGGTTCAAACACACATTTATTGCTTGAATTTATGTATGAAACTGACCGGATTTGAAAGCTTAGACTTTGTTTCATATCAAAATTATCAAAGCACAGAAATGATTGTGATTATTGTTTGGCAGGAGCTACAAATAATGTTTAGTGAACTTCTGAAAACAGCACAGACTAAAAGATCGATTGATTTATGAATCAATATCAGTTCATCGAGAAATGTGTATTTCCCACCCAGTCCTATGCGGTACTTTCCTTAAACATGTAACATTATTATATTATATTTATTACAGAAATTTCGAAAAATGGTATTTTCAGTTTTTGGCCGAAAGAGAAAAATGGCCGAAAATATTCCGCCTCATATATATTATTATAAATATATAGGCCTATAATAATATAAATTAATTATTTTAATATAGATATATTTTAATATAGGGCTATATTATTTGTCCAATTGTTGTTTTACTATAAAAAAAGTGTTTTTTTCCCTTCATTTTCTTGGCTTGTAGTTTTTTAATTCAGATTCAGTAAAATTATTACATTTAATTTAAAAGTCTAATAACAACACAATTAACAATTAATTTAAAATAAAAAAACATTACCGGTATAAGTTATTTTCAGTTTTGGTTTTCGGCCAAGTGCATCCACAAATTTTTATTTCGGTGCATCCCTAAATATAATATTGTAATGTGTTAATTTTAATAATAATAATAATATTATGTCCCAGTGCTGTAAAGGACAGTGCAGTTGTTGTGTGTTCAGACTGGATGAGTTTCTCAGCGCCTGCAGGAAATCAGATCCAGATGTGTGAATATTTCTAATGAGCAGAAAGACAGAGTGTGTGTGTGTGTGTGTGTGTGTGTGAGGACAGATAAACGCTGCTGCTTGTTTTGGACTCTGTCTCGGCCGTCTGAAACTAAAACCCTCATTGACTGAGTTTGTTAAATCTGTCCTGTGACTTTCTAACTCTGCCGTTTCTCCACTTTTTTTTGTATATTTTTACACTTTTGTGGCATTTTATTCTTTTTTGGAAAGAGATTTAGAAGTTTTTTGATATATGTTTTTATATTGTATTAATATAAAATATTTTGCCATTAAAATGAATATAGAATCTGGCATGGCACTACAAAAACTGTGTGTAGAGATCAAGATTAAGCACTAAAAGGTGAAATGACGAGTTTATCTGCAGTGTTTGTGGACGTTGAGATTTAAATGTGGCATTGATGCATAAATGTGGCTTATTATTGTATAATTATATGTTAATGTGCTCAAGGTTGTGATGTCAGATTTGCTCTTTTTGTTCTGTCGTTTTGAGTTTTGAAAGTTGCATGTTTTTATAGAACACGTTGTCATATGCCACGCGTTCATAATTTTTGCAAACCACAAGCTATATAATTGCACAAGCACATATTAGTCTTGTGATATTCAATCAGTTCACGTTGCTTTGTGTTTGTGATGCTGAGATACTGTGACATCATTTGAGATTAATTATTTGTGGGTTTTTTGTATGTTATTTCTGTGAACCGGAGTGTGTGTGTGTGTGTGTGTGTGTGTGTGTGTGTGTGTGTCTTAGCACAGGAACAGGTGGCAGGTTTTCAGAATCCAGGTCAAACGGTAGTAAAAATACACACTGTGTGTGTGTGTGTACACAGTAAACATCCGTGACCAGTAAACACTGACCTCAGACCAGAAGATCAACTGAAAGCTGAAGTGGTTCGTGTTCAGCATTAAAATCAGACGCATTGAACCTCAGATTATAAACACCAGCATCACAGCAAACATTCATGCTCTTATTGTGCACATTATTCTATCGCTACTAATGAGGCTGTTAATATCAGCTGGAAACGTCACAGCACATCCAATCAGAACTACTTCCTGGATGAAATCGGCAGATTTTACATTTTACATTTCAAATGAGCTTTATTAGCATGACTGTGTGTCACAATGTTGCAGAAGCATTAATAAAATAAAATAATAAAACACACAAAACATATATGTATAGATCATGATTCATGTCATATGTAGCATGGTAAATAAATAAATAAATCCATCTTAATAAAAGAGTTAATAAAGCGAGTCTCTCTAGAGTTAGCCGTCTCTGGCGATGTGAGATATTCAGAGTCTGATCGAGGCGCTCGCACCGGAGATGCACGAGTCAGATGTGGGATTCACCCGACATGCGCACACTTACTCATTAACACATTTGACCGTTAGCAGTGTTTGGGTGTGAGGGGCCGACCTCTGCGACCTCTGTGCTGTTCCCATGGCGACGGGCCGCGGGGGTCAAAGGTTAATCTGTGGGAAATAGTGCAGAACCTTCAAATGAGTTGCACTGCTGCCGGTTTAACGAGTTTGATGTAGGGTTGTGCGATGTTGACAAATAATAATGTCTATTTTCTGGGGTTTTGGCGATTGCTGGGTGTGTTTTTGTGCTGGTTTGTGTGTTTTGTGCTGGTTTGTGTGTTTTGTGCTGGTTTGTGTGTGTTTTTGTGCTGGTTTAGGCCCGTTTTTGACAGCTGACCCCTGAGGCGTTTCATATTCTTCATATTCTGTGCGCTGATCAGTTCACAGCGCACAATATTAAGGCAAGTGACAATTTAATAAAACGTCCTGAAACATGAGCGAAACTCTTGTATGTTTGCGGGAAT